CTAGTACTTCCCATCTTGTGAAGGTGCAGTCGCCAAGGCTATCCAATGGCGAGGTCCAGGTGAGAAGAACAGAAGCATTAGACAAAGGTGTCGGACTCATCATAGAGGGCGCCATAGCCGGTATAGGTTGAGTTATCACGGGTTCACTCAGTAGAGACCATGGACTCGACATATCGGCATTGATGCAGTGAACTCTCACACGGAATTTGTACTCGGCATTCGACCTCAGACCATCGATGATACATCTTCGGCTTTCCACGTTTTCAACACCGGTGCAATGAGAGCCCTCTTCCAAGTTTCCAGTACTGATGGCCCAGCGGGAAAATGAACAGTCTCTGAATACTCCATTGTGGGACCATTCCACGACCACAGTTGATGTACTCAAGACGGTCGCCATCACGAAGGAGGGAGCCGCTGCCCTCTTGTTGCATTTCGAAGAATCAGGGATCGTAATCTCGTTACTGTGGTTGCTCAGAGCAGAGCTTCCCGTCAGACCATAACACACTTCTTGGACGGCAAACACGTAAGCAGCATTACAGCTGAGGCCTTCAAATTCACAGAAAGTAATACTTCTGTTCGTTGGGTTTACACAAGATCCGCTCGAGGGTGCCTCAAAGATGCCATTTGCCGTGTCTACAGACCGCGCCAGAACCCTCCAGCTTTCAAACTGGCACTCGCTTGGTTCACCGGGCTCCCATTGCACCCTAACACTATTGCTTGCACCGAGGCTGGCAAGGACCTCTGTGGGAGGCCCAGCTGTCGCAGGATAGGTCGAGACCAAATCTGATGGGCAGCTGAACTTGGACCATTTCGGGATATCCTCACAAACCACGCGAACACGGAAACGATACGAAGTTCGACTCGACAGGACGTTAACGGTGCAGCTAGGAGACCGACAGGGAGCGCTAGCGTCAGTCGCTCCGCAGTCCTGGACAACTTGCCACGAGGATTGTCCAGCCTCTTGGAATTGAACCTCCCAGCTCTTGAATTGGCAGCTCCCAAGAGAGGGAGCATCCCAAGTCAATCTAATAGAGGAGGATCCCAGAGGCTCGGCAGCTACGCCCGACGGCGGACTCGGGAGCGATGCTAGAAGCCTAAAGTCCAATGCTTGAGGATGCCAGGCGGAAGAGCATGATTAGGGAGTTTACGTCAAATATCCTTCATCAGTTTCTGGTAGCTCAGGAGGGACTATAACAACTGTTGCATTCCGATCGTCGGAGCCTGGGGTGTCTTTATTAACCCTGCAGATAAATGAGATAGTGCCATCGTGGACACGCCAAGTCTACTATAGAACCGACCTATCATCGTCTTCCTCAGTTCCCTGTAACTGCCGGCCATACCAAGACTTGGAAATGGGTTCCTAAGGCGTCGGGTTAAGCATAGGAGTTAGATTCGAGGCGAGTTACTGTATTGGCGGATCGCCCCTCTATCGCATCGGGGTGTGCTGACGTGTCGACTGTGTTGCCGTGAACACGCTGCGACAGAACCGCAACCAGCCACACGAATTCGACGAGCTGGGAGGACCGGAAATTCGTCATGAGTCAGCCAAGGCCTGGGATGAGAGGCTGCAAGGAGGGGAAGCATTAACGGCCCTAACACTAACTCAAGGCGGTGATCTCGAGACCACTCTACCCAGCAGACCTGGCTTCACGAGCAATGACAGCATCGTACTGTAGCCTCAAATTTGCCGAGCAGTAAGAGCCTGTACATCACCAGGTGGATCGGAAACGAAATGCCAATGCTCCATAGATGAAACCGTAACACGTTTGGCGCGCTATGTCCGGGCGCACCGTACACCTCAAACGAACACGCCTAGCTGACAGCTAATAGCTGATGAAGCGTGGTCGCCGCGATGATGTAGGGCTACCGTCCTATTGGCTCTTGCACGATATAGTTAACTACTATAGGCGTGATAACTATCGATGCCCAGGTGAACTTAATAACAACGAGAGCTGGCTATGAGGGTCGGTAGGAATTTTTCCCCTTTATCGTTGGAAGCTGTGATTATTCTCCCATGCCCGTTGGTGCAGAAAAGCTACGTCATAAATCGACAGACCACGAGGAGGAGTCCCCAGCCGATGAACAATGTCAACAGGTGTCTGGCTTCAACGATTAGGACGTATCTCATCCCCCCCGATAACCGGTGCTGAACGTGGGCATATCTCGGCGCATCGGAATAGACCATTATCAATACGAGATCGAGTCTTGTCCAGGTGATGCATTGTACGGTACGATGCTCTTGTCGACAGTGAGATCACCTTCACTGATTCCGTTACATCTGCTTCTAGGCAGGAAAACACAATCTACAACGAATTCTATGGGAGTACACCCAGTGAGAGGAACGATCTTATTCACCGCACACGATGTACCCCTCCTGCGGGTAGGCCTCGGCTAACATCATCTGCTACAATCCGCCTTGTGAATATGTAGGCAAATCCACGTTCGACCCACTATACGACGAGCCTAGAATGGCTGCAAGGGAGTCCTATGTCGCGTATTTGTCTCAAAAGGTGTGTGTGGTTCATCAACGAATAACAGCGCCGGGCTCATCATGAGAGGCCATACCTTGGACCCGCCAATATAGTGGAATCATCGCAGGTGCTGAATGATCGGAAGCTCCCGCATGGTGGTATTCGCAGCAATATTGATGGGTCGAAGCGCGAGGCTTCACCGCCGGTGTCTCTCTCTGCGTGAGTTGGATGCCCCCCGGGCTGCTGGCACTGATCTCGCGATGACTTCTCAGATCAAACTCTGGGCATCGCTCAGACGCAACGCAGGACCGGTCTCCCTCAGCCGGATCGACTAATCGGAGCCAGGAGGCCGAGAGAAGGACTGTACCAGACCATCCAGTGGTCCGTGGGGTGGGGTATTTGTGATGGATACTGTTCACACCGATAGCCAACAGTTCGATCAAGCCGTCCCCAGACGCACTACACAATCACTCAAAGAAGCGCGGCATTGCAGGAAGATCAAGGTGTGATCCCCCCGGCGCTCGCGAACGGAGGTTGTGTACGGTCCCCTTCTTCAGGGTCCTAGATCCGACGTCGTTCAGTAATCGCTCTTCTCACACGCCCAAGCGTGTTTGCTAACATGTGGCGGTCGCACTGAATCTTCCTGCTGTCCCCTACACTTCATTTCTTGTGTTGTGACCAGACTCTACGGTGAATCGTCAGCTGAGTCTGACCAGAACAAAACCCGGGCCCTTAAGCAGTAGTTCGTGAGTGTCTGGAAGTGATCACTTTCCAGTGGTTACCATTCGAATATTCAATGGCTTCTTACCCCCGACAAATCTTGCAGATAGTCCTGCTAGTGATCATCCTAGTCTTAATAATTCGATTCTGGGAAGCGGACTTCACTGGGCTAGCCCAGCCAGAACGAGTCGCCGACGCGGACAAGCTCAATGCGGCCACTGCACCGCTGTCTGCTCGTTATGCTGCACTTGTACACGGAGAGGAAGAAGCCGAATGCAACGGTGGCCCTGTGCTCGTTTTAGTGGTATCTGGGGCGCCCCGATCTGAGCTGATCGCCCGAAACGATGCATGTTCGAAGAAGTTCGACGTAGTTAAAGCCCCGTTCAAGGCACCTGGGCCGCTGACGGTCCTCAAATATCTTGAGCAGATTCCAAGAAAGTATACCTGGGTAGTTCTTATCAGCTCCACGTCGAAGGTTCGCCCGTCACTGTTCCTACGCCTTTGCAGAACTCTCCATGTAGGGGAGGTGTACGGCGTTGGCGAGGACGGAGAGGGTAAATGGTTCAAGCACAAGTCTATTGTTCCCTCCTTTGGGGCTGGGGTTGTCCTCTCTGGGGACTTTGCTCGGAGCATCGACATCAAGAAAGGGAAGATCTCGAAGGAAGGGTCAAGCTGCCGACGAGAGCACGGCTTCTACCATGAGCACTTCCTTGCTGCCTGTCTTCAGAAACACTTTTCGATCAACATCACTGATGGCGACGGGCTCCTCGGCTGCCCAGGATGCGCAACAGAATCACTTCCAGGCCGATGTGTCAATACCGAGACTGCGGAGGAGCTATTGAGGAGCACAGTTTTCACTATAATGACTGACAGTCCTCAAGAATGTCGCATTGCTATGGATGCCTGGGCATCCCCATTGACGAATCGAACCTACGTTTTCTCGAGCAAGAACGTGAGTGATATAAGAAGTGCGTGCCCGCAAGCTAACGTCATTGAAGTGGTGGATGAAC